CCCCTCATCCCAAGTAGTGACAATATCTCCAGACATTGCCAAACATCACCTGCGGGCAAAACTGCTCCCCGTTGAGAAGGACTGCTAACATCACCCGGGTGATGACAGGGCATGCTGGCACTAAGGGAGCTTTCTCTCGGTAGTCCCTCCCCATGGCTCCTACCCACGCTTCTAAGTCAGGGCGGTCTGCACTCTTCCGTGAGTTAACTTTTCGTACCTTCTGCTTTTGCTGCTGCGCCTCCTGCAACACTGCAATGTCCTCCCTCCTCTATTCAAACCTTGCACTTCCTTCAAAGAGCCAGTCCAGGTTCCCCATCTCTAGGAAGTCACCGTGACTTCCCTAGCCTACAGAGAGCACCGTCTGAAAGTTAACAACACCCATTCTCTCATCATCATTTGGAAGGTCACCTAACCCGAAATACGAAATCAATCTCAGCTGGAAGCGTTCTTGGAAATCATCTAGCCATTTACTCAATGTGCATTTTTTAAGCACTTCTGTATACCTATCACTGGAGATAGAGAAATGTAATTGATAAGGTCCCCACTCTTATTTTATAATAAGGGAAACCAGGCTTAAAAGAATAAATGCTTGTCCAATCTCACTTGCCCAGGAAAGGAATCCCATAGTCTGCCTTACTTTCCTTATGGGGCAGTCTAGCTGGGAGCAGTAGCCACATCAGGGTAGGGCTGGTGCATCATGGTAGCTCCTGGCTCCCCTTAATCTAGCACACTGTAACATGGGCAGTGGAGCTTAGTGCCTAAAAGTGTGGGCCTGGAGTGAAAAAGATCTAATCTCAAATCCTGGCTCCTCGACTTACCACTTTCTGTTATCTGACTTCTGGACCTCAGTCTCCCCAAGTGCAGAGGAGGATAAAATCATGTGTGTCCTAGGAGCGGAGTCAACAGCATCAGGTACAGCACTTGACGCTGGCTAATGGCGTGGGCTCAGGCCCCTTCCTCCTTGTCCCCTTAGAGAAACTTCCCCAGCCTGTCCCTGCTGCTTCACTGAGTCATCACACCCTGCTTCGCATTGTCCCTTCAAGGGCCAAGTCTCTATTCCCCTCAGCATCTTACACGACTGATCGCTTCCTCTTCTTGGGAAAAATCTCTTGGATGTCATACCACTGTCTCCTGGGTTTTCTGCTTTTATGGACTCCTTCTTGGTCTTCTTTAATGGCTCCTCCTCATAAACCCAACCTGTAAAAACTGGGTGCCTGAGAGTTGGACTCCGGCTTCTCCATCTTAATTTTCACCTTGCGTTATCCCCTCCTATTCCAATCGACATGCCAATGATTTGTAAATTCCTTTCATTAGCCCCAACCCTTTCTGCGATCTCCAGACTAGGACATTTGTAGCTCCACTCAAGATACCAAAAACTTAAGGTGTCCCAAGCCAATTCCTTGATTCATGCCCTGAACCTATTCCAAAGTCATTAGTAAATGCCAACATAATATACCTGGTTACTTAAGCCTGAACCCCAAATCAATGAGGAGGTCATCTTTGACCACTCTTTCTCTCCTTCCTCAAATCCTGTCCTGCCTGTCAGTTCCACCTCTGATATACTTTTTGATCCATCTATTTCTCTTCACCTCTGCTCCACCATCACAGTCTAAGCTACAATTATTTTTCACCTACTGACTGCAAGACTCCTAACTGGTGTTCCTGTTTCCTCTAACAGCCCTGCTGCCTGGAGTCCATAAAGCAGCTGGAGAGATGGCTTAAGCACAGAGAGCAGACCATGTCCTCACAGAGCTAACCCAACTCCTCAGAAGGCCAACGAGGAAGACATCCCACCATCTGGCCTCTGCCAACATCTGCAACCTTATTCTCCCATCTTTCTTCCCCAGCACAGCCACGCTGGCCCCTGGCAGTTTGTCAAACACATCAAGCCTGTGTCCTTCTCTGCTGTTTACACTGCCTAGAACTCCGTTCCACAGACCTTTGCTTGGCTGAACTCTCGAGAGCCCTCTCATCATCCTCACGGCTCCTCCCACTACCTGACGTTTCCTCGTTCGTTCACGAGTTTACTGCCCGCCCTCCACTCGCAGACCCCCGCGGGATGCAGCAGCCTGTCCACGGACAGAGCCGTACTGGCGTGATTC